ATGTCTGTATTAAATTCCTGATACTGAGTGAATGATAACATACATGTCTGTATTAAAATCCTCATACCGAGTGAATGATAACATACATGTCTGTATTAAATTCCTGATACTGAGTGAATGATAACATACATGTCTGTATTAAATTCCTGATACTGAGTGAATGATTACATACCTTTCTGTTTTAAAATCATTATACTGAGTGAATGATAACATACATGTCTGTATTAAAATCCTGATACTGAGTGAATGATAACATACATGTCTATATTAAAATCATTATACTGAGTGAATGATAACATACATGTCTGTATTAAATTCCTGATACTGAGTGAATGATAACATACATGTCTATATTAAAATCCTCATACTGAGTGAATGATAACATACATGTCTGTATTAAAATCATTATACTGAGTAAATGATAACATACATGTCTATATTAAAATCATTATACTGAGTGAATGATAACATACATGTCTATATTAAAATCCTCATACCGAGTGAATGATAACATACATGTCTGTATTAAATTCCTGATACAGAGTGAATGATAACATACATGTCTGTATTAAAATCCTGATACTGAGTGAATGATAACATACATGTCTGTATTAAAATCCTCATACCGAGTGAATGATAACATACATGTCTATATTAAAATCCTCATACTGAGTGAATGATAACATACATGTCTATATTAAAATCCTCATACCGAGTGAATGATAACATACATGTCTATATTAAAATCCTCATACTGAGTGAATGATAACATACATGTCTATATTAAAATCCTCATACTGAGTGAATGATAACATACATGTCTATATTAAAATCATTATAATGAGTGAATGATAACATACATGTCTGTATTAAAATCATTATACTGAGTGATTCATAACATACATGTCTGTATTAAAATCATTATACTGAGTGATTCATAACATACATGTCTATTTAAAAATCCTTATAATGCACGAACGAAAAAATACGTCTATTTCATTTCATATTTCTAAATGCGGCTATTTTTCTGTTTGTAACTGCTTTCCCCACCCCACCCCCACCACCCCCCTCATCCTCACCCCGCTACCCCGATCCCCTCATCTCCTCCCCACCCACCCCACCCACCCCACCCCATAATTGTATCATCTTACATACGATAGAAAGAGAGTTAAGATATCAGTGTTTATTGTAGCTAAAAGTGTATATTACATACGATGGAGAACTAAACATGTCACAGTCCCCTGTGGTAGCTGTGTTACACCTCGCTCACCTGGTGAAATCATTAATGTGACTATTTCAACGCTATTTAACTTCCCATTATGAAAAATGCAAAGGAAAACACAGATACCCATTTGTTTGAAACGCCGTGGATGGATGCATTACACCATTAAAAGACATCACGCCAACAATTTTACAATTTTATCGACACAATTCTATACCGTCAGCAATATATGTTAGCTTTCTCGTAAACGTGTAATTGCACTGTATTGATATATTAATAAGCCCGTGCGTCCATCTATCATACTATAACAGTTCTGACGGCCCGGACCCAAGGGACTCATAAAACGTAATACCGTAATGTAAAAACCAACTGATGCATTTCAAACATGGATGAAAGAGATAGAAACATATAGAGCTCATCAGATGGAGCAACGCTTCCTCGGGGACTACGCCATCCCTTTTAGGAAAAAGTCGACTAACAATTCATCATAAGAAAGATTCTCTTTTGAAAATTATCGATAAACTGTACAAGGTTTGTTTGAGACGCCAAGCCTACTTGGTTACAGTGAGACGATGAAAGTAACACGCGAACTGCATGTAAGAGTATGCTGTGTAGTAACAGTAGTATTTCAGTCACTGAATGTTGGCAGTGACTTAGATGTTTACAACAAGTGTTGTGATTCCTGGGTGTACCATTCATGTTGTTGCCGTTTGGCTGTGTTCTATTAGTGTTATTGCTAGCTTTAGATAATTTACACCATTGTGGAGGAATTTTAAATTGTGACAAGATTAAAATTAAAAAAAAGAGAACTAGTGTCATTAATTATTTATTTATCTCCTTTCATAACAAGAAGTTTTAATAATTAAAAAATAAAAACTGTTGGGTCCAAACAAGACACATTTCAACAAATCACACTTTGTTTTCTTTGACTAGAACTGAAACTGTTTCTATGACTTTTTGTTTTCACAACATTCCAGTTTGGTTTACAGCAACACTTTTCACGTTTTGATGACAATCAAGAGCAGAATAAATCTGCATAACCTGTGGTTTATTTGTCAAAGGAGATGGCATAAAGTGTATTACGCTGTAAAGAAAGACAGCGTTTAATCCACGCGGGGTGATTCGTAAACACATCTGTTTTGTTGTGAACAGAGATAAAGTCAGCGAAGATTCAACAGACTGCGGAATGTAAAAAAAAAAAAGAAAAGAATAAAATTTCTCTGATAACTAAGTGATCGTATCACAAGTTTCTTGTGACGTCACTATGGTTCAGTGATCAAATAATCTTGAAAAGCCGTTACAGGTTCAGTAGATGTTTAGCCCATGAAATGGAGACCTGTGAGTTGTCTGGAATAGACAAATCTATTGATGAAAAATCTGCCTACACTGGTATCGTATGGTCATAGCCTAATGCCAACAATCATAAAAATGTTTTTATTTAGATGTAACATGACAAGTTGAAATATATACCTTGTTGCAGACGTAAAGCGCTGGTAAACACGCACACGAAACCACGCTATGTCACCACGCAAAATATCAACGCTGTTTATGTTATGTACAAGTAGTACTTGTAGAATATACGATCTTTCAAAGTGACACTAATCTGAAACCAGAGACTGTTGGGGAAAAACATAGATAAAAACACTAAAATATGTCATTTCAATATGGGAAATATGAAAATTGATCGAGAATCGCACTTCTTATAAATCTATTTCAAATCCGGGAAAGAACTGGAAATTTTAAGTATATTCGAATCAAAAAAGAGCGCTCGCATCGTGGCGTAGAAAATTCATTCTCTAAGAGCGCACGGGGCATCAATAACATTTAAATGCACGTGCATTAATGGATATGTACACGACGTAACTGATCCAATGAATCAATTTTGTGAGAAATGGTTATTATCTTATTTTTGTTTGTATTATTTGTGTTTTGTTTTTGTGTTGCTTTAATACTTTGTGTACATTTGTATCTATATCAGCGATGTTTCATGTTGGAACCGCAAAATTTCAAAGTTGATTTCTCCTATAGGAAAGCATTTATTGATGTAAAGAGACCAATTATGTTAAAAAAAAAGACATGCCAACATAATCTCGGAGATTCCTTAAAACTTGCAGAAGGCAATTTAAGCGTCCTCTTCTTCACCGACCACACCCGTCATGTAAACTTTGGTCAATCCTTTAATTAATGCAATGTTCGCAAATAAAGGAACAACGTAACGATAAGTAATAAAGAAACAAAATCGAACTTCGTGCCTTACAAGGAACAAGAATACGATGTCGATTATAAAGCTTCCCACAGTCGTCTTCAAATAATATGGTACTTTTCAACATCCTTCGCGGAAATTGTGATCTTGGGAACAAACCATTGGATATCGAATAAATGCTAATATTTAAACGGTGTAGATTGATGATGCAGGGTTATTAGTATCTAAAAATGAATAATTGCGAATAGGAAAGTCGAAATCAGAACACAGCTTAGGGGACTGTTGTCCTTGTCGGCTTCGGTGTCAAAAAATACGAGGTAGAGGAATTTCCGTTGATTCTGTATATAAAAAAACATGAAAGATTAAAACTACTTTAAGTTCCAATGTTCGTGAAAATTGGTTTAGATCATACAAACAATATACAGTGTGAGAAGCTATAGAACAAACAAAAAACTGCCCACACAAAGGAGCTTCATTTCAACTGTTTACAAATGAGCTTCACTTCAACTGTCTTTTATGAAGTGAGCTAATTTATTTGTGTTGTTATGTACCCAACGCCCTGTAATGATAAAAATAGGTTCATTCAATATTCAGATAACGCATGACCACACAGCGAACTGTTTCACATTCAAGTTCTTTTATTTTACAGCACGTGAACGACATCTGGTAATTCAAATTCCATTATAGTGGGTTTCCTCTGTTGAGGAAGTTTAACTATTGAATACAGTGCCATTCCTAGTTGTTTTATACAACGCTAATCACTACCAGCCTTGTCGTGTTTAGTGGAAACGCCAACAGCCTACTCACTCGTTTAATTAAAATTCCAATTAGACTACAGGAAATGCTATTTTCCAACTGGACAGACATACGGCCAGCAGAATGCACGTGTACATGCTTAGAAACGTGACAGCAGGCCTTCAACCATTGCCAATGTCCCCTGTTCGGCCCTTCCTCAAATTGAAACTGACAGGGGTCCAGAAAGGTCCTCGAAAATGCTGCCCCGCGGGGAAATGGTTTACATGGCTATTCGATCGCCGACCGTTTATTATGATGGAAAAGTTGCGATGAAATAAATCCTTGTCTCTGATAAGAATATATGCCCAGGACGGAGATGAGTCATCTCCATATTTGGACAATAATGTCGTTTCGGTGTGAATATCACGTGATAATAAATCTATAAATAGCAGGGATGTTTCTTCAAATTACGAAAATCAAATATTAGCTTTGACGTGTAACATGTGCAAGCGTTCTCAGCTAACAATAAACGACTGTATGTATCATTCAGAATTGATTAATGCTTGCTGCAATATTTTAATTTCAATCGATAAGAAATGATAGCTTTTGTCGAACAGTGTTGTTAAAATTTCCAATTTGTAATGATGAAAAAAAGGTTTAATTTTGAGCCCTGTAGTTCACCGTTGTTATAAGGCGTCATTGGACCTGCCTCTAGGGCTAACGAAAAACACTTGTATAGAACTTCACAAGAGCGAACAAAAAACACACAACAAAATGGCTTTTATTGAAAGATGTGTACTCTTAAATGAGGGGAGAAATTGTAAAATCTTCTAGGCGAAGATGGAGAAGAAACTACACACTGTTAATGGGAGAAAACCAATGACAGATTTAAATGGAAACAAATCGGGCGCGTCACTACTCCTGCCACGCAAAGAACGAGATTCATTTGTTATACTTTCAGACGTCACAAAACACCACCCTACTTGGACCGGCAAGTACCGGAAAGGAACGGCAGATTGAAAAACCAGAGAAGCGAACATTCCGTTCTAGCCGTACTGGATCGCAAGACATAAATTACGGTAGTACATATATGTGGCCGAGACTATTTAACACCATTCCCGAAGATTAACACGAGATTGTCGTGATAAATACCTCAGCATGTGTAGATAAAAACAGACTTCAGTAGAATGAAGATCCGCGCAACATTAGGAAACAGCCTTTCTCAAATCATGCTCGCGTTTTTGTTAAATAGATCATCGAGTCTGACTAAAGTGCGTGCAAAGCAAACGCTCAATAGATGCAGATTTTCCACTGTCTGTTCAGCGCTCAAACTGTAAACCGAGAAAGTGAGAACTTTCAGCCAAAGGAATTTTGGTCACCAAACAGCCATGACTTTGGCTATTCGGGGAATTAGACACCTGCGTATACACGCTGATTGCCCTTTTCGTAAATTCTCGCTGACCAAGTCTGGTACATATGATAGGGGTTTTCTCCCTTGGGTGTAATTATTCATGTGATCGATGGAGATTTTTCCTTGTACTATTGCAGTCAGAGGACGAAAGAATGAGTCGCTCTGATGACCAAAAGAGAATATCTCGGTAAAAAACAGATCGTTGTTATCAAGTTATTGCTGTTCCTCGGCAATATCGACGTGAACGGAATTCCCTGAGCAACATCATGACATATCTGAATTTATCAAGATAGGACGAAAACATGATGGGACGAAAGTTCAAACAGAAATGAGTGATCAATTGATTGATTGTTGTGTTATTTTAGTTCGTAATTGCTGATGTCATATCGATAAAGCGAAACTTAGATACAGAAAACAAGGAAAACACGAGAGTTAAAATAAATAATTCTTATGGTCTCGAAGTCACAATCTCGGGATCAGTAGGTGAAGTACATGCATTCTAGAATACAATACGGAAGTGGTTTGTTTATCTGCTAAATGGAAAAAGTCCTACGATAAAATGGTGAAAAAATTAATGAAAATTTACTACAGTTTTTCATACATCTTTTAAAAGACTAAACACGAAACCGTTGTTTTGATTTTCTTTGGAAGTTTGCCATTTGTTTTTATTTCAAATACATTAAGGACAATAACGAAATTGATTATTTTTGGTTTTGACAGTCGTAAAGTAGTGGCATTTTACCATGATGTGGGCCGAACCCACAGGGGAACAGAATATTGATAAGCTGGTTGTAGAAATACATGTCGAATTATCGACACCGCGGGGGTACAGTCGTTATTACCAGAACAGACTGTCCATTATCTGGTCAAAACAATGATATTTTATTTTTCACTGGTAACCCTCGGGTCGAGGATGATGACTTTTACAAAACACATGATTGTCTTTAAAATATAAGTTCTCCCACCCCCTCTCTCTCTCCCTGTCTCCCTGTCTGTCTCTGTCTGTCTGTCTGTCTGTCTGTCTCTCTCTCTCTCTCTCTCTCTCTCTCTCTCTCTCTCTATTTTTTTTTTTCAATGTATATTATTGCTATTAATTTTTAACATCGCCACCACCACACCCACAAAACAAAACAAAAACAAAAAAATAAAATGAAAAAATAAAAAAGTATACCAACAAAATACAAAACTTTACAGAAAAATACAAACAAAAAACCCCAAGATAAATGGCCATCAACGAAGTATGATCATCCAAGAATTCAAGAACGATTTAACTAGGATCCGTATAAAATGAAAATTTGAAAGTCTCCTCCATGTAAGTTGCGATAAAGCCCTGAAGAAAGCAGCGATAATACTGTAATCGCCCCATACAAATGCACATGCAATACGGCAGACAAAGACTTTTTCTCTGATCCTACCTGATACGTGCGTCAACATATCAGAAACCCAATATATTGTGATAGTGTTCGATACTGCTTTGGTTTTTAGGTTTTTCCTGCATACAAAAATATTTTTTGAACAACTTGTTAGCCTCAAGGGGTTTCAGAGGAAGTGAAATAAACGATGTTTCAAGGTTGTTCTACAAATATTGAGATTGCTTCATAATTGATGATAGATTTTTTTCCCCACAAATATATAGATTGTCTCATAAATATAGAAAAAATATCAATAGTGTTTCACAAATATCGAGATCGTTACAATACAGAAAATGCATATTATAATTTTCAATAATCTAGAACTGAAAATCTGTTTTATGAATATTTTTGTCGTAATTTACATCATCCAAATTCATAGGATACACAGTGTTGTTAGTAAAATGGTCATTGTTTATTGTATAACATTATACATTCTATTGGGAAAAACCTCCGGATGTGGGCGCTTCATCACACAGTCATGACGTCATCAATATGTATCTATCCCACAATGACCAGCTCAGTTCCGAAATAAACAGAATTGGTGCTGACTTTGAGTGTGAAACACGATAAACCAAATAAGGCAGGAAGCAATATTGTGTTTCTGACATCGCCCTGTGTAATCATGAACACTTTTTCTATGGGCGGCAATCCTATATGCTTTAATCTTTTTATATCGGAATGACACATCTACGTGTATTTGCGAAACAGAGTTAACAAATCCGTATTCTGACATTTCCAGGGAAACAGGAAACAATATCCAAAAAGCCTGGTTAGCTTAAAAAACACATTGGTTGTCCTTGTTTTAATATAAAGCAAAAAATAGACTGTATTAACATTAATTCATAACTTACATCATATTTTTATGTTTTCAAAATAAAAAGATTGTTTTAATATTTCGAAGATTTTTTTTTTTTAACAAATGAAATAAAAATTTGATGAAAAAATATCATATGGATGGAACTGACAGAGCTTACAGTGTGTTGATGTTACCGTACATGTATAGTGGTGGTAATCTGTAGTCGATTGACCTGGAGTACAATTCCAAGATGTTACAGCAAATGGCCGTGTCAAATAAACAGAACATCGATCTTAACCCGACCACATGATACCTTCTTTAACATTTTGGACCAGATGACCTTGGATCCTGCCCATTCCGTCCCAAGTCCAAAATCAATGTGGGCTTTTTCCTCTCTAAAAGAAACGGCACATGTACGCCATACAGAAAGCAGACGTTTAAAGAATGGAGGTGAAAGGCCTTTGGTGAAAAACGACTTTCTACAGCTAAGCAATGGCATTTCGTATCTCTTATTTGAACCGATTATATGAGGTTGGTATAACCTTGAGATGACCTTGGACGGCAGATATAATTCGATATACATGTATAAGTCACGTGATTGTGCAGTACTGTGTTTCTTTGTTTCTATCATTAACACTGTTTTGTAGACTTGAAGCGGCTGGTTTTAATGAAACATTAAATCAGAATGTCCTTTCACCTTCCGCTAAGGAGGTGTGATAGCTTAGTCACTAGAGCATCACGCGTCCTCTCCACCTCAGGTTACAATCCGAGGTGTCTGGTTTCTAGCCTTTACCAAGGTCGTCATGTTTGATTGCTTTAAACATTTTCATGCTCAAATTTCGATCAAGGATAGAAACAAGCTATTACAACATATTTACACTTCCTAAGATACATTTACATATAGAAATTACTACGGAACATCCAAACATAGGTATATCTACAAATACTTTTTTCAGTTACAATCAAAATTTGTTACTGGATTTAAATTTAAGGATTGCAAATATTAAAAATATTTTTGAATTGATAGCAGAGGTTGTTTATCTGACTCCAGAAAGGTAGAACTATGAAGGTGTTCCACTCAATTTGGCAAGATAGAGTCTAAATCGATCGTCGTATGCTGTCGTAGTTGTGTTCCTGGGTAATCCACCTTCTTAACTTGTTTTGGATAGTATACAATGGACCTCCCGCATGTTGTTCAGTATGATAGAAACCACCTGCAACGACTAAAGTCCACCTACACTGACTGTTCAAGGGACGATTAACCCGACAAACAAACAAATCCTCGTCTAAGACGTGTCAAGGTGAATACACAAGGGCGATTGGTTGTTTAAATAACCAAGACGGAGATGTAAAATGGCGCTGCAAACGTTATCATCACTTCCGTTTGCCGAATTGACAAGTCGCCTATCTTTATTGATCTGATTTGGGGAAACAAGATACCCTCAGCGATCAATCACGTGACGCATGGTTGTTAAGGAATTATGGTATTATAACACACAGTTTCCGAGTTAGCATCACTGATAGGGTCACGTGCTTTGGTGATTATATAACGATCCACATCATATATATATTTATACAAAAGAACTTGATATTTAAAAGGATTTTTTTCTTTCTTACAAAGACTTTTTGTCACCTTACAATACTGTAATACCCCTGGGATAGTGTTGCTGTCTGAAAATAAGTGTGATTTTAATGGCTGGAAAAAAGGCCGTACCGACTGAAATCTTTTGACCATCCGAAATTTCCAATCTTGAGTGTGAACGCTTCAAACTATAATCACTTCCGAGGCAAAATACAAAGGAAACTATTTAAAACTGGGTAAAAATCTCATGGTTTTAGCCGTAATTATCTACGTCAGGAAAACTGCATCTAGGACCCAAGCATTAGAAGTGTGGGTGACTTCCGCTTTAGTGGTTATAGGGGAAAAGACGTGAAACATCTTGTTCCGCGGACAGGAAGATAAGGCTGACTATATAGCACGGGGTCGATATCAGCCCCGCATAAAAGGGACCGATTACACAACATTCAGTTCCAAATCAATGTAAAATTATGTTTAATGAGGACAAAACGCAAACCCATCACAAAATAATCTGTTCAAAAATGCAGATGATGACATCGATGTTAGATTGAAATTGATTCTGCACCTTGGACAAGTAACGTGCTTTAGAAAACAACATAAAATGGAAATAAACCCAGAATCATGTTACTGACATACTGCGTTATCGTAAATCCGAAGTTTACCGGAATTAGCCGATACTACAAGAAGTTTACGATTTGCAGGGTGTTTAAAGTCCTCGCAACAGCCGGGGTCAAATGAGGTCAGATGTTAATAGGTGCACTGCAAGTAGAAAGTTGAGTAAAGAAAGAATGAG